TAGAAAAGAACTGAATATAGGATTTGTTCTGCTGATTAGACTAATTGTCTTAGATTTAAGCATTAATCATGATTCTTATACATATCAAAGACACGGTGTATAAGAAAGTAAGAGAGAGAGTAACTATCGCAGAGTGGAACTCACTGTCACCAAACACAGTAGGGGCACTGTCATTAGATAGCTTTAAACAATGTCTAGAGTTAGGTGTAATAAGTCGATCGGTGTAATATAGCTAGCTGCCGCCGCTCCACGTGCCTGTGAAGCTGGTGTGTTACGCTGAAAGGCGGTTATACCGGCTATACAGATACAGATTGGAAAGAGTGAAGGCATACCGACACATAGAATCATAGAAGATGTGACCAAGGGGCTTCTAAATTTGAATATGGTGCAGAAGGGAAAAACACAGAAAACTGTTGAAATATCTTTGGTCTTTGGGCACACCAATTTCACTTGTTGGTCCATCATTTAACATCCCGTTCTGAGGACTGCAACCCTTTACAGTAGCATGCATGTCGGGTAAGTGACAACAGCCATTTGAAGTCCCTCAAATTTTGTGTTATGATTATTTATATATTTTCTACTGTTTCATTAAGTTTTCATTAATTTAGACATAATCAGTCTTGTTTATTTGTTTAATGCAGCTGTCTTGATTTCCGTTTGTCAACATACACTCTTTCTTAATTTGTTTTTCATTATTTTTTGTTAAGTATAATTGTTTGTCATTGTACCCATATACTTTGTTTGTTTTTGTTTGAGGATCCATGGAGCTACTTTGTGTTCTTTTGTTATTTTAAAGTAAAAAAATAACAATAATAAAAAAAAAATTTGAACTCCCAACCTTTTAGTCCAGAGGCAGGGGCACTGACCACTGGACTACATAATGCTACGATATGTAGGGCATTAAGACATAACATACAATGTGGCTTTTCAAACGGTTTCATCCACATGTGCATATAGAATCTATATCTTGTGTCTATCAAAAGTCACTCACTGTTCCTCTAGAGATGCATCTGTATTGAAAGTGTTGCATGGAGCATGTAGCACAGCATTGACTTACTATTAAACTCTCATTGACAAGTTAAAGGGAAGACATGGACAGTTAACAGAGACATACATGTGTAGTATCTTTCAGGAATCTTTTACATTGCACCAAAAAAGTACCAGCGTGCAAACTACCAAATTTTACTTGGGGCAACCTATTTTTGAACCTAGGTTGCCCAGTGTGCTACCTGAATTTTAAGAATACCCCCCCCCAATCATGCCTACTTGGCTTGCACCACTGTATCCGGCAGATGCTTTTTAATTTTAGGTATTAATGGCTATTACTAGTATCAGTTAACTAAAGGCTGTTAGAAATATTGCCAAAGGCTTATGTATGTAACATTACTTAATTTGAGGAAAGTGGTAATTTATTGGTGGGGCAACCTAAAGTTCTGATGGGCAACCTAATTTTTGCCGTAGGTTGCCCAACCTGGTTCAAAAAAAGGACTTTGTATACTGAATACAAAAGAATGAAGTGACAACATACATATAACAGAGCTTTATCATTGACAAGTCAATGATAATGTTGAACATTTATATTATAAGTTATGGTAACCAAAGATTTAGGTTAAGGCATTACAGAACCTACTTAGCCAACATAATAAATTTGTTAGTTATTACTAGTAAGATATTACTAATAATCTTGAATGACAATGGTTTTTAATAAGTTAAACTCAGTAATGTGAACGCACCCTAGTGGCAAAATGTTGTCTAGTGTTTTGACATATTCAATTTATGACGAAAACATGCCAACTCGGCAGCCAAATAGTCGTCTAACACCCTTGAAAGTGCTCTCATTATCCAAATGTGTTTCGAATTGGTACTTAGCACAGTAAATGAACATAATCTGTCCCTGGTGCTGAAACCATGGCAGTTTTGTAGTAATTCTTTTAACTAAAGGAAAGTGCAGCAAATAAGGTACTTTATCATGTAAAAGTGTATCCTTGTGTATAATAAACAATTGGGCAAAATTATAGGGAATTAAAAGCCATCCATATTACAGCTTCCATATTTACAAAAAAAATTGTTCAAGTTGAAGTTAAACAAGATAATGCATAAGGGGTGCGGAGTGAAAGAGTTGATGAATTCTTGTTTACATTGGCAAATACAAGTATCATCAATTTTATTTGTGCAAACGTTTTTGCAACCTTCCTAGTGCTTTTTCTATTGCTGCATGCCCCCATAACCATTTCTGAACAGTCCCTAATAGCAATACCATGTTATAAAACGGTTCTTCACCCTGGTTGAGATCTTGTTGCATATTGCTTGTTCATCTAGATAAGCATCCTTTATCAGACTGAACAGAGGGATATAGATTGATGGACACTGTTTGGGGTGCTGAAATGATGGTAGCTGTACAGATTGCAGTTCTGTAATCCTAGTAGCAGGTGTCCTATCTTTTAATGTCTCAGGGCTGGTCCATTTACCATTTGGGTTGGAGCGGAATCCTTCTTGTTCATGTTTTCTTTTACATTACTACCATGTAACCAGCAGTTTTTATCCCTTTTTTACGCAAAATGTAGGAAGAATTAGATTGAAAATAAATTGTCTTCTGTTTCTTCTGCCATTCCCTTCAAATGTTGCATTATCTGTTGCTGATTTCAAAGCTCATTTTCTTAATTAGGACTAGGTCTATTGGATACATATGTTGAATTGTTTTGTGGTATGCATGTTACCTCATTCTGAGGTTGGATGCTTTCCCTTTCCCTTTAACAGACATTTTCTTGAAAAGAGCATGGAAGGGTTGGGATAAGACAAGCATACAAGATTTGCAACTGTTGCCCACATGGACACAGCTCTTTATCTAAATGCCACAAAAAATCATGGCCGGAGCTTGAGCCGGATTGCTCTAAACGTGAAGTCACAGGTGGGAAATCTGGTTAAGCTCGGTACGGATACATAGCGTGCGGCGTGGCGGATCTTCCCGCTCTCCTGTCATGTCGAGTGTGAGACGTAGTTTGTTTTTCCACTCCTGCACAACCTTGGTATGAAGGTGGACGGGAAAGGGTATGGGAAAAGGTCAGATTAGGACACGGTGGGGAAAGATTCTGGGCAGGCATTAAGACTTGAATTACCAACGCCGTGCGGTTGAAAATGAACTTGACATTGTAAATCAGGAAGCTGCCAAAGTGCGTGAAGGAAAGGAGTCTGGGTAACTCAAGTTCACCGAGGCCCTGTTCATCCGCTACCCACCCACACACTGTGTTAGGCGCCTATGGGAAGGGCACAGTTAATCTACACCAAAGATAACCATAGTTACGACTAGGTTTGTGTGGGTGGATGGGCTTTTCATGCCCGTATCGGGACACAAGCCTAGCCACCTTTTTACAAGCGACACGAGTACAAATATAGTAACAGCAAATAGTAAGCACAGAAGGAATCAGAAATCGCACCTGAAATGAGGTATGTATGAATTAACTTTTTGGTCATATGATGGATCAAAATTCATTCAAGATAATGCTAACAGATAACAGTTGATGTGCAAAAGAAATAATAATGACTGCTATTCATAGGTCACATCTATCTTAGGTAAGTCATTCACGTTTTGATGTAAAAAATATTTTACTTCTCTGTCTTTGTAAATGGTTTTCTTGAAACACAACACATCAAAACAGTCCAAAATATTATTACAGATATTTCACAGTAAATTCAGTGTCCTAACTCGAATCTTTCTTGGTACAACTTCATTCTAATTCTGTGCATTCTAATTCTTGACATCACTGGATTACTGGTGTGAAAGACAGTTTGTCCAGTTTTGATCCACCATTCAGTAGCTTGCTGGTTCATTCATTGGCATAAGCTTTGTGTTTTTGTGTTGACTGGCATGGAGCTGTGGGATATATGACAGGCTAAACGGTATATAGCCTGTGTGGTACTGATAGTGATAACACTGAGTCACACCAGAGATACTGCAAACCTGAGGAATAAGTACACAATCCAGCACCAGGGCTGTTTAGAACAGACAACAGAAGGATAGTTGCAAGGGATACCATATAGAATGGAACCAAGCAATGTATATATTTCTCCCGCATAAAAACAGGATCAAAACCAAGCTATCAGCCATTCAGTAAATGACCATACTTCCTTTGCATTGACTATACATTAAAAAAATTGAGATTTTCTTTAGAATAAAAGTTTTGACCCTTTGACACAGTAAGTCCGTCAGTTTCATTAAACAGACCTAATGACAGCTAATTAAGTTTCCTCATGCACTGATCGGTGCATATACCCTCGGGATTCTGGGTAATATGGCAAAACACGAATTTCATAAACACTGTCTTGTTTGACCTAACCTATCTCATCTGGGCTACACACATAGCTTACAGCCAGACGTAATCTTAGTCTTACAGAATTTTAAGAGCATAGAAATCATGCAGAAGAGGTACCGGGGTAAGCCTTCTAAAAACTTATTTGTCAAAGTTAAATCTACCTCTTTTGTCATTGGCTTACCTTGTGACAGAGGCTATACAGACCTAACATGTCCTGACAAACGAAAGTTGACAAAGAGATTCATTGCTTAGTAAATTTAGCATACTAGTATCAAGGGGATGATGGCAGAAGGTGGACTGTTTAATGACTATGTCTTTCTCTTCTCTTCCTACAGCCATGGCAAGAGGTGTTGAGATTGCCTATTATGAGTTTGTTTATGACGGTCATCCCGCGGAAGTTTTGAAATGAAAGTTGACAAAGAGATTCATAGATAAGTAAATTAAGCATACTGATATCAAGGGGATGATGGTAGAAGGTGGACTGTTTAATGATTATGTCTTTCTCTTCTAATCCTACAGCCATGGCAAGAGGTGTTGAGATTGCCTAATATTATTAGTTTGTTTACGACGGTCATCCCGCGGAAGTTTTAAAATGAAAATTGACAAAGAGATATAGTAATTTAAAATTAAGCATGATGGTAGAAGTTGGACTGTTTAATGACTATGTTTTTCTCTTCTATTCCTACAGCCATGGCAAGAGGTGTTGAGATTGCCTATTATGAGTTTGTTTACGACGGCCATCCCGCGGAAGTTTTGAAAGGGTTACAGGAGTTGAAGAGCAAGAAGCATCTGATGGATGTGACACTGGTCGCCGAGGGGAAGGAGATCCCCTGCCATCGCGCCGTTCTCTCGTCCTGCAGCGGCTACTTCAGGGACATGTTCTGTAATGAACTTGAGGAGACCAAGAAGGATAAGATCGAGATCATGGGCATCACGTCCGAGGCACTGCAGCTCCTGGTGGACTTTGCCTACAGTTCAAAAGTGACCATCACCACTATCAACGCCCAGCCTTTATTCGAGGCAGCTAATCTTCTCCAGATCCTCCCCGTGCGCGACGCCTGTGCGCGGTTCCTGGCGGATCACCTGACGCCCAGTAACTGCCTGGGCGTGTGGGTGCTGTCCCACACGTTGGCGTGTGAGGAACTGGCCAACAGGTCGCGAGCCTTCTCGTTAAGACACTTTCCGATGATCTGCCAACACGACGAGGAATTTGTCCAGCTCCCCGGGGATCTGCTGAAGATGTACATCTCTGACGATACCTCAATGCTCAAGAGGAGGAGCAGGTGTTCGAGATGGTGATGAAATGGGTCAAGCACGACCTGCGACAGCGCAAAAAATTCCTGAAAGAGGTCGTGGAGGATATCAGGTTCCCACACATGGACCAAATCTACCTTATGAGGAGTGTTGAAGCTGACGAAGTTGTCATGAAGGTCCCCGGAATCCGAGATATCCTACACGAGGCCAGGATGTACCATATCTCCCGAGGGGAGGTCTCGTCCCCTCGAACAAGACCGCGCCTTGCTTATGGCCTACACGAGGCAATGGTGGTGTTAGGAGGGACCCGCGTTGTCAATGGTGAGTACAATAATGATGTCTACTGCTTTGTTCCTGCGTATAGTCAATGGAGCAAGTTAACATCTTTGCCTAAAGACCTGAAGAACACCGTGGAATACGCTGCCACGACACTCAATAACGACATCGTAATAACGGGTGGATATCGGAGCCCCACGGCAGCTTGGCTGTACTCCACTCAGTTCAATACTTGGAACAAACTTCCTCCTCTCAGCGTGGGAAGGTTCCGACACAAGATGGCCACCCTGGACGGTCGGGTGTACGTGCTGGGCGGGAAGAACCCCCGCGGATCCCTGCAGGTTTTACCGTCCCTGGACAGCGTGGAGATTTACGACCCCCCTCCAACACGTGGAAACCGTCGGTTCCCCTCCTGAAGGGGGTTCGGGCTTGTGCCATAGCCACCTGCGAGGGGAAAATGTACGTGATCGGAGGGAAAGACACAGACCAGACAGCCACCGACGCTGTACAGTGTTACGATCCGGTGCAAAAAACGATGGAGCTTTAGGACTCCCATGCCTATGGCTGAGTCTTGTTTCAGTGCCACTAGTGTAAACGCCCTCATTTATGCTGTAGGAGGGAGATTCCAAGCAATACAATGTTATGACCCCAACACGGATAGATGGCAGGAGCTGGCGCAGTCTCTGGCCCCCTGGGATTACTGCAGCGTGACGACGTGTGATAACAAACTCTACGTCACCGGCGGGAGGGTCGAGGACAAAGTGAAGAAAGGGAAGGACACGGTGCAGTAGTTACGACCCAGCAAATGACCTCATTGAGCTTGTGCACCCGATGCCTGTCAAGCTTTTTGCACACTGCGCAGTCACCATCTTAAAACGCAGAAGGTAAGGCTTCTTTCCTCTTTTCTTCCATCATTTATGGCATCTAACACATTGTACAGTACAATGGATTTCCCCACAAAATCAATAGCTTGCAGCATTTGTATCAGTTTCTTTCACATTCTTTCCAGAGAGTGTTAATATCCAAAAAACTGACATACTGAAGCACTGTTGGCATGAAGTCATATTCAACCTAACTTATAAAGGACAGAGTCAGGCTGGGAAATCAGCATATGGCTGTTGGTTTCTGTCGGAAGTAGAGACTACTTCATGCCAATTCCTACACAGAAATGGAGTCTTATTTCAAATTCTGTCTTTTTCTTCTAGGATCTTTTCTTCTAGGCTTCAAAACTCCGACTGACAGTATCTCTACCTATTTCCAGGCAAGCCGACTCACAACTCGTAGCTGCCCAAAGGTCTTCCACCACTAAATGCTTTTATTAAGGATAGAACAAAGTCCCAAGATGATCATGGCCATGAAAAACCAAGAAGCCCTCTCAACAGCCCGCCCAAGAATGTCTGATTTCTCCTGACCGTTCTACACAAGACCAGGCCAAAGTGAACAGACGCTGAAAGCGATGGTGAAAAGTTACGTCTTATGAAAATTCCCTGGAAAGTTATTCCCTGTGTGTATGTTTTAGTTAGTGGAAGATTGAAACAATACATTTTGGAGGGCCTGGAAATGTTTGAACAAGAACACAGCACCTTTAGAAACTTTGAAAATGTTGACAAAGGAAATCTTTGTACTCAAGATAAACTACAAAATTCCCATACAAATATCGCGAAGAACAAGTCCACATAAAAAAAACAGCAACCAATTTTAGTTTACGATGATTACTTCTTATTTAACCTTCTCCCTGCTAAATAATGCTGAACAAGATATAACCTTGATGGCATGAACAATCCTATGTCAGGGAGTAGGTTAAACCCCATACACACCCTCATTCCTATCCAGGACCCTCCAGGCCCATTTGAAAATAATGGCTTCTTCTGGTATGTTAAAAATGATTACTTCTAATTGACTTCAATCCAAGACAAAAACGAACTAGCAAATTTTAAACCAGGAATAGTGTCCCCACTTTGTAATAAGGGTGTGTGGTGTAATGAAATTAACTGTGACAATCTTGAAGACAAGTGATGATGGAAGAGTAAGTTACAGAAACTATTGTACTTGTGCATTGTTGCTTCCCATGTACAGTGAAACACTCACATAAGAGGGTAAGGGCAGCTTAGATGGACAGACTGTGTGTAGTCTTACAAAAAACACAAGAACATATGGTTATATTCTCTACAAAATTGCTCAAAGCTGCCTCTTTACTGTGAAAATTGTATTACCGTATAATTGTTGTCATATTAACCTCCATTACTGTCACAGTGCTATTTTAATGACTAGTCTGGCCAAATTGTATGATGATCATGACATTGTGACAACAGTCAGTGTTCAGTCTAGAGTACAGTGAACTGGGTAAGGGAACACACTTTAACTCAAAAGGCAATTCTCTGGGTGTATTTGTTCAGTCTGGTGAAATCTTAAATATCAAAACAACTCAAAACTGTGCCAAAATCTGTTCAATGCCAAATGTGGAGATAGTATACTTCTAGAACCTTTTTTTGCATCTGGAATTTTTTTTACAACTAAAAGAAATCATGATAGTGTAAGAGAGAGTATGTTTGATTAGAATTTAGACATCAAATTCAGTAGTTTTAAATTTTATTGGTCTTTGAAAGTTAAATCATCCAGACTCTATGTAAAAATGACCCCTATAACTTTTGGTAGATTGCCTTTTAGCTACAGCACGAAAGAACGGCACTTTTACAGTGACAATACTTTTGTGTGGTACTCTTTTGACCCCTTCCAATTCAGTATTATTATTGTTACAAACCATTCTTTTGTTCATGTTTATATAATCAAAAATCCATACAAAACATTAACTGATGAAAGTGAAATAATAATGAAGGAAATGAAAAGCGTTAGCCCAGAACAACAAAATATGTCGCAAAATCTACAATATTTGGGGAACCAACCTACGTTTCTTGTATAGTTGTTAAATGTGGTTGTACAGATACAATTTTATCTGAGCTATGTAAAAGCACAAACTTGAGAGAGAGAGGGAGAGAGTGTGTGTGTAAATAGAGGTGAATTTTAGGCCATTTTTCTTCCCTAATCCCCGTGCCATCGCCCTTCGACACGTTTCCATATTACCTGCTTACCATTCCCCGCGTGTCGACAGGTTTCCATCCCACAAGTAAAATGGGTTGCAGATTGAGTGACTATGTGGCCCCGCAGAGGATTAGACTAAAGCCGTCCTAAAATGGAGGTTGGCTCCAACCGTTGCGTCAACACTTCTACAGGTCGAGAATGAGCTTGCCAATGACTCCTCATGTTCACACAGCTTTACCGTATCTTGATGGAAAGTTTCCAGTCTTTTAGTTTCAGAAGGCCTCGCTTTCTTTGCTACATAGAAATTCTACATGATTTGAGCCTAACACCTGACGTGAGAAATGTAATCTTACAACCAATTTGTCATGAACAGCCTTTTACAGATAAGACTACCATCATACATTTTTGCAATCTAAGTCATCAACTTCCAAACAATTACTGTTAATAACAGAGTTTCAACGTGGGCCCGTACGCACTTAATTTTCTCCATTCAATGGAAACTGCTTTCAGCAAACTAGCGCCCTTGTACATTGATCAACCCAGCCATCTTGAAACGGTCTTCCTACACACATTTGATGAAATAAAAGATAGGGTTCGATGGAGGTATTTGCCGAGTGTTATGCATGAAGCAGAGGTAGTTATCTAGCAAGGCCTTTGGGCATACTACCTAATAGCCTCCAAAATGGTACAGGTTACCTCACAGTTTAAGGGCACTGGACTGTTTAAAGAATAATGTGTTGCAGGCAACATTTTAGTTTTCTGGTTACATTTTCTATCAGTGTTTCTCTAAATCTGAACATCATAAAGGCTAAAGAGCAGGTAAATACTGCCGTTGCTTATGTTTGGTTCAGAAATATATGGACCATACAGTTTCTGATAGGCACTTAGCTCATTAATATGATTAAAACCACCATTTGGCCAGACGCTTAATTGTCAGTATGAGCATTTGGGCGGAGCTGCACAGAAACACACAAAATCATCATTCTACTGATGGCTGTTTGACGTCAACAGACTGACGGTTCATTTTGTTAAAAAAGAGAATATTTTTTCTGTCACAAAAAGGAATGATTGAAAGGGCTGGAAGTAACATCCGTGTTCATAATATCACCAGGGTCCATACATGTAATATCGCCACCTTGAGAAATAGTGTGCTTAAATATATTTTTACTGCAATATACTTTTAGTATGCACTCCTGCACACCTCAAATGTACATACATGTACCTAGGGTATGTTGCAGTAAAAATATCTTTAAGCACACTTTTTCTCAAGGTGGCGATATTATGGACTTTGGTGATGTTATGGACACAGATGTTATATCACAAATGTACAATGTCATGAACATGTCATGTTCTTCCCAGGCTTTGAAAAGTGTAACTTGTGCTTAAATGCCAAGTTCAAATGCTGTGCAAAAAAGATCAGGAAGCAGGGGATGTACTGAGAGGTCAGTGTTCTGTGGGGTCTTACGTGTCTATGTTAGAAAAGTCGGACTGATATTAAGGAAATGGCTAGGGGCCCATGTGCAGCAATACCGGGCTTCACGCTGCCTAAACACGTATACAAAAATCAATATCACACCGTCTAATGAAGGAATCTATTTGCAACAATAGTCGTCAAATGGCCCGGCCTGGTGTATACCAAATGAATGTTATCCCCACAGCTATTCTGGTAGAGCTACTGAACCAGATTTTAAGATTTAACTTTCATTGACGTTTATTGATGTAGTACAACAGCATAAAAGTGCTAATAAGATTTAAAACAATAAGTTTGCCTTTTTTGCAAATCAACTAATTATGGAGACAATTTTGTTTAGTAATCCAGGAGTAGACATAGTAGTGCACTGGTCCTTAATTTTCCTCTCGAGAGGCCCTAGAGGTAAAATTCAAAAGCACCGCAAATATTAAATGTCAACAGTTTCTGTCTGCAATATTGAACATGATGCAATATTTTCCGTCGGGCAAAATGGAAGCTCAGTTTCAGCTTTTCTGTAATGATGTGAACTGAAAAAAAAATGTGCGGCTGGTCCACCAAAGGGACTTTCCTTAATCGAGTTGAGAATGGCTGGGGAGGAACTTTAAGTCCCTTATTAAGTCTAGCAAGTGGCAAGGGCTGACCTGAATATTGGTGTCCTGTTCATCTTAGTCTGATTAGATTGGGTCAGTTCAGCCCCGAGCCTCATCAACTCAAATCCCTGGTCCTCATCACTTATTCAAACTTACGTTGATGAAGGTTAGACATCCAGGTAATGAGATACACAAGAAACTGTAACTCAAGCAACTGGATAGCTTTTGACAACCGTGAGAGTGACATGTCAAGTAGCATCCACTACTTTTCAGCAGTGACTAAGGGAATTTGTATTTGAAAGGGTCTTTATCATAATATGCACTGATAATAAAATGTGAATTAGGTGAAAATGATATCAATTCATAGTTTTTGGATAACTAACCCATTCAACTACAGTTTCTGTTAGTCACTGATGAAAAGTAATGGATGCTACTTGAAACGTCTGACAGTTTTCATACCTATCCAGTTGTTTGATTAACAATTTCTTGGTGGTTGAAAACAAAGGTGGGTGAAAAGTACTCTTTTTCTAAGATAAAAGCATCAGCATTGAAGCCATCACGGAAATCTTTTAAAATATAATTATATGACATATAAGTGTCAAATGTTCAACATTACAGTAGGGAAGGCAAAATTTCATTATGGCACCCAATGCACAGTTGCAATTTCAAATTGTGTTTTCGACCATTTTCCGTCTAAAACCGTCCTATCAATTGTGTTAGCACGCCGTTGTAAGTGCACGGGGCACACCACCGCCCGAAAATGCCACATCTCCCGGAGGCGAGCCGAT